ACAATTCTCTCTTTACATTCCTCTTTCTTGATTCACTTTCTTATCCGCTGATTTCAAAATAATGGCATCGTATTTTCTTATAACAATTTCGTCAGCTTTCACTATTTGACTGCAAATAAAATACAATGATAAAACATTAAACATAATGAAATATATCTCACTATAAAGACATATCAAAATTTAAAAATAAAACGTAATGTTAAACAAAAATTGAAAACAGAGAAATGAGAAATCTAATAACCAATTGAAAAGCATAATTACCCTTTGGTATATTGTGAATCGGGGTTCACAGCCACCAGTTTAAATAGTTTTGGCATATTTTTGCCTAGTTCCCTCTTTCTACTCATATCAATTTGCTCTTCGTTTTCATCGAAATTGATTAGCACCCAATAAGTGTCCTGTCCTGGAAGTTCTCTGTAATAATAAATACCGATGAAATGCCATAAATAAATGACATTTTTTTGTAACAGATTTGCATAAGGCAGTCCAAATGCCATATTAATTCAACTTAGGGTCTATTAGTTTCATTTTTTACCTGACATAAGCGAATACACTATCATTTATGACGATGGAAGTAAATGTTCCAGATGCAAATGCTGGTCTTTTACGAAGTTGCACCAACTTTTTGTAGAAATTTAATGTACTACGCACAAGTTTTCGTTGTCTGACAACATTTAACTTTTTATAATTCTTATTAACTGGTAACCATGGTTTGCTGCTTCCATTTGTAGGCATAAATCCAGCAAATCGTTTCGATCCATCCCACTGCATTGGTGTTCCTGGAATTGGAAACAAAAGAAAAACGAATGAAATTTCATTTTTTTAAACACATCTTGGACATGGAACTTTGTTTACGTGCTGCATCGCGTGATCGTGCTATCCAATTTTGTGTTGGATCGAAAAGAGTTACTAAGGGATCTAGCGTTTCTGAATATGGAATAGTTCGATCGTCTGACATGCCGATTTCTTCGCCTGTAATGTGAAACATTTTTTTTGTATAGATGTGCACAACATAATGGCATAAGTTTTTATCAATGGTAATTTTACCATAATATGTGACGACATTCCCTGGAAGTGTTAATAACAATGCGATAAAGCTATCAAGTCTTCGTTCGCCATAAGTTGATCCCGAGCGTGGATTATCGTGATTATTCATGTGCCAATTGATGCGGGCGCCTACTGGCGTACTTGCAATTTTATCGTCGATAATTTTTTTGACATGATGTGCCGATGAGTCTCGGTCCATGTGTCGAAGTAAAAGAAAGTTTATTGGCATTTGTGCGCCCTTTCTATTACTATTTCCATATAATTTTGGAAAATCATGTTCTTTGACCAGCGCTTCTGTCATTAGGAGAACTTTTTCACTTTTCATTTTCTTTTCAAACTCTTCGGCAACATCGCGGAATTTGTAAAGTAAATCATATACTTCGGGCAAATATCTTGTATAAATGTGCACAGTATAATCGTATAAATTTGAGTCGTTGGTCAATTTACTCAGAGGCTCATCAAGTAAATGTTCAGATTCATACCAACGATCAACCGCATCCATACGAAAACCATTGGCACCCTTTTTCATCCAAAATTCTAAAACATCGGTTAATTCTTTGATCACCAATGGATTGCGTAGATTCAAATCGGGTTGTTCTTTGGCTTTAAAGAGCGAAATAATTAAATAAAATATTGAATATTATTAATTTAAATAATCATTTTTTTTGTTCTTGTCTAGAAAATAATAATTTCTTACCAAATACATGATAATACCATTGGTTACGCTCTTTGTTAAATTTCCAAGCATGGCCGTAGAAACGCGATACCCAGTTATTTGGGGGCTCTGTGTTATTATTCTTACCATCGGCCCAAATGTAGTAGTCCGTGTATTTTCCTTCGCGTTTAACTGACTTTTTAAACCAATCGCATTTTTCTGACGTATGATTTGGCACAAAATCCAAAATAATTTTTAGATTTCTTTTTTTCGCTTCTCGGAATAGATCTTCCATATCTTTCATTGTACCGAACACCGGATCAATTTCATAGTAATTTTCAATATCATAACCGAAATCAGCCATTGGACTCTATTTTATTTTGGATGGCAAAGAAATGAAATTGTAAATTAAACCGTGTTTTTACTTATTTTCAATTCATGAACTAAGGAATTGCCTACAGACGGCATTATTCTAGAAATTGTACTTGGAAGAAGTACTAAAGTCTTTCTATTTAAAATTTATTGATATTTAGTAAAAAAAAATCGACTATAAACGTATGTTGTTTAGACCGTGCATTTAGGCTCTCAATTTAGAAACGACTAACTGGCCGGTTATAAGTTTTTTCTTTGTTTCTTCAAATTACCTTGAAAGTTGGTGAAAGCCATGCTGCATCAACTCCCAATTCTTTCAAATAATCTAACTCTTCAATAATTCCCCGTATATCTCCGATGCCGTCACCATTGCTGTCTTTGAATGAACGTGGGTATATGTGATAGATAACACTATTATCATACCATTCCATACTTCGACACACATCAACTGCGACACACAGCACTACCACACAAATGAATTGGAATATATTCATTTTTTTTAGCGAAGTCCTTTTTTGGCTATAAAGGTGTTGAAAGAAATTAAGAAAATTACATGAAATATTTTAGTGACAGTTGTTCAAAAATTTCAATTTGCTTTCTACGAACAATTGCCATTGTAAAAATTTAATGATATACACAATTTTTCATACATTTTCAAGTATAATTCTATCAAATTAGTTAAAGCTGGTTAAGAAATATTGGAACATTGAATTTCATCCAACTTCAGTTTATATGCTTCAAGTGGCATTCAATTTAGATTAAGAATGGTTGGCAAAAAATTGTAACTTGAAATACAATTGTTGAACAATTTTTTCATATCTTAAAGTGTTTAAAATAATTGTCAAGAAAAGGGTTGCCTACAGACGGCAATATCTTAGAACTTGTACTTTGACTATTGTATAATTGTACTTGTATTTATTTTTAGTGAAAGTTTTCAATTCTGAAATAATGCTGTTTAGAACGTGAATTTTGACAGCATCTTTGAATATATTGTGGAAAAAACTTCAATTTAATCGTACTGTTTAGTATGTAAAAGTTTTAAGGCCAAAAAGGTATTCAAATGATGGGCTAATAGAAATACATAAAATGCACGTCTCAGCAAAAGCACTTATTTCATTCTTTACCACAAAAAATAACAATGCCAAAAAGTGAGCCAGCTGTCATTGCTTGC